AACGACGTATTCTTATCACTCGATGAGCCGCGATGCCTTCACGGCCAGCTGATTGTTCATGCACTTTATAATTCGTCTTCTTATTAATGATTCATGTATGTGTTGAGTGGGGATGGTATGGGTTGAGTGGAAATGTGTTCTTGATCAATTATTTGCGTCAAGCAGACGCCAGGTGATGCGTTGTAATGTGTGGCAGTGTGCGTATCATACGGATAGCTGGGTTCTCCTTCTTTCACACGGGCGGCCGGAGTTCGGTCCCACAGCTGGTTGGACAAGTTGGCACGACGCTCGCCGCCGTTGCGCGATGATCCGTCGTCAGATAGCGCCGGCAGCTCGTCCGCTGGCTGCAGTTCCTCTCTCTCGTCTTGGTTCCCAGCTGGTGCCGGTCGGTGTGCGTGTGGGTCGAACCCACGGCGCGCTCGCTGGCGCTGACACTCCTGCTCACGGGCGGCTGGTCGGGCTCTTTCCCCTGCTGGATGAGCCAAGTCGGCACAACGCTTGTCCGCTGGCAGCTGTCACCCTTGCTTAGTGACGCTGGTGGCGCTGCTGCGCGCTCTCTCTTGCTCCGTCTCTCTCCCTGGTTGATTGCCTGACGCTGAGAATAACTTTTCAGCGATACTCTGTCGAACTCAGCACAGAGCATCCTCTCGCCCCTCTTCTCTGCGATGCACCACACGCATTGTCGATCTCGAGCCCATGCCTCGGAGCTGGCTTGCTGTCCTCTTCTGAGCTGCTGTGTGTCTTCTTGTCGAGCTGATGGTCGCCGTCTTCTGCCGCTGGTAGCTGGGATGATTCAATGCTGGCGTGTCTCTCTTTTTATGCCAAAATTTCTCCCTCTGACTCGCCTTCTCACAAAGGACCGGATCTCTCTTTGATCTCGCTCTGTTGTAGTAGTGTTTCCATCGTGGTGTTTGATTTTTATTTTTAAGAGGAGATGCCCTCTGCCTGCGTATGCAAATTCTTATCATGTGCTGCTGGAAGACAAAGGTGGCTGGGAGGCTCTCTTTCTCTCTGGAGTACATTTATCTTGAACACGTGATCGACCTTCCTCGCCTCATCTCTTCTGGCTGGCCCTCGGTTTAACACTGCATCATTATTATTTTGGTTTATGTTTCCCAAGATTTGTGATCTAACATTGTCATCATTAGATGTTACCTCCGGTATTTCAAGGGTTTTAATAACTTTTGCTCCCTGTCTGCATCCAGGGAGCCGTTTTTTTTTATTCTCGAGGTCAGAGATATCCCAAGGCTGGAGATATAACCAAGCCCTCACTTTCTTGACTGCCAGAATTCACATTCCTTGGTTTTTGTAAGGTCACGTAAATGGCAAGATGCAATATAATTTAAAGTGAATAACGTTAGCATTAATATTATGTATGAGAAGTAATAACCCGCTATGTAGATTGTCTGTTTTTTTTTCGTAGTGGGTGTGTAGATTCCTATAATGTCAGCTTATTCTTGTTGCTGAGTGTTTCTTGGACTTCTGTTAATTAAAATAACCCAAAACTTTTCTGCCCGGTTTCGTCTGATGTGTGTTTGATCTATTTTATTATGGTGATGAGACGTCTCCTCAAGGCCTGGCCCCTTCCTTCGTAGTCGGGTATTGCCTTGTCTATCCCGGTGGGAGTTGTGATCTCTCCCTTTGTGGTTTTATTGCTACCCCATGTGGCTAGGAGACAAGGTTGCCGGTAGGTTTCCTCTATGGAATTTTTTTTGGTCACGTGATCAAGCCATCTTTGATGTGTCCCCTGGGTGACCCTTGGCTTAACTTTAATAACCATGATTTGAATTTTGATTTAAAGCTTTCGTGACTGCAGGGATTCATTTCGTGGTTCTTTCGGTAAAGTCACGTAGATGGCAAGAGGTCATAGAATGTAGTATTAATATGACATGTATGAGGAGTCATAACCCACTAGGGAGATTATAGTCTGGTGTTTTTTGTGAGCGTGTGGATTCTTTATGATGTCGACTCATTTGTTGCTAAGTTCTGAATTTTAACCGTTGTATTAATAGCAACGAAGGGGAAAATTATTTTAGAATTCGCCTGTGAGTGGCGCCTTATTGTCTCTGAGCTCAAAGAGGGGGTTTTTGAAGCTTTGAATTCCCCTCCAGCTTCATTAGTAATTCCCCCCCCCCCCCTTTCCTCTTTGTTTTGGTTTTATTACTTTTTATTGCTTATCTCCGGGCGGCTTGTTGTGTGTGAGGGGAGGGGGTTGTTCATCTCACCCCCTCTTTGCCCAAAGTGATACCACGATTGAAAAAAAAAATCGGCAAAATCGTTATTAATATCAATTTTGGAAAAAGGCCTATATGTACAACAATGGGGAACGGTTAGTGTGCTGCGCTATGAACCCGGCGACACGAGTTCGATTCCCGCTCACGGCCAGCACCAGTGACGATTATCTGAACCGGTCCTGGGCCTCCCCTAGGTTGACTCAGCCTCAAATGAGTACCTGTTGCGGTGTGTAAACATTCCCACTCGGGAGACAAAGGTGACCGGGCGTGGTGCTGGCCACCCACCCCCTCGTGTGCCGTGCCGGCCTTCATAAGTACCACTCGCTATACGTGGGATCTTTGTCTTTGTGTCTCTATATCTGTGTATGTATCTCTCTGTATGTATCTCTGTATATCTGTGTGTATGTATCTTTGTAGGTGTATCTATGTATTTCTGTCTGTGTCTGTGTATTCATCTATGTGTGTTTGTCTGTATATCTCTGTCGGTGTATCTATATTTATGTTTGTATGTATCTGTACCTCTGTATGTACGTATTTGTGTGTGTATCTGTGTATCTCTGTATATATCCGTGTGTATCTATGTATCTCTGTATGTATCTGTGTATGTCTCTATGTATGTACATCTGCGTGAATATGTATGTATCTCTTTATCTATATATATGTGTGTGTATATCTATGTGTGTATCTGTGTATGTATTTATGTATCTGTGTGTATGTGGGTGTACATTCAGTACCCCATTCAAACCCACAGTGGCCTGGTCTTAGCTCGCTTATGAACGTTGCAAACGAGAATTTCATCATTGCTTGCAGCTGGGGTTGGCATCATCTCTCACTCCTGATGTCCAGGGGAAATGGGCAGAGAATGAGGAGGCTTACCCCAGCCTTCGCTCGGAGGTTTGGAGAGCCGTGAGGCACTGCAAGGATGGGTAGTGGTCTCGGGTTACTGAGGAGATGGAGTCTGCCTCAATAGCCCGCAATCACAACTATGTAACTCCATGAAAAAAAAAATTGCAGCCCGACACCTATCACCATCATTAGGGAAAAGAAAGGTGATCCGATCTCCGACCCCCAAGAACAGGTTTGCAGATGTTTTGACCATTTCTGTGAGGTTTTAGAGGAGGGGAAATCGCCCCCATGATGAACACTTCATGGGGAGAAGTGAGGATGTCCCTGCTGAGGCTGTCGTGTCTTAAATATTGAAATAAATAGTCACCCCCTGTGAGTAGTTAGCTGAAGTGCCATCTGTTGAGGAAGTACTGAGGGCGATCCAGAGTCTTAGACCAAGAAAAGCACCGGGCAGAGATGATCTCCCAAAGTGAAATGCTGAGGGAGTGTGGCATTTGTGCGCAGACTGCCCTATATGACATCATAATAACAGTCTGGACCATTGGACGGGTTCTGCAGGATTGCAAGGGTGCCCTGATGGTCGCCCTCTTTAAGAAGGGGGACTGCACAGACTGTAACAACTACAGGGACATCTCCCTCAGTGTGCTGGGAAAGGTCCTGGCAAGGTTATTCAACATTGTCTTGCCAGGCACGCTGAGGAGAGGTTTGTGGTTCCAGGAAAGGGCGGTTCTTCACAGATGCCATATTTTCTGTCCGTCTGCTACAGCAGAGGTTTAGCGAATTTTAACAGGACCTACACCTCTACTTTATTGACCTGGTCAAGGCCTTTGATGCCATCAATAGGCCTGGGCTCTGGGTTGTTCGATCGATGCCCGGGTGCAGTCAAGAGATGGCTCCGTATTTGTCAACCATTGTTACGTATGCTGATGATCTGGTGATTGCTGCTAACTCAGAGGAGGAGTTGGAGGCGTTGCTACTGAACCTGGAGACTGCCACTAAGAGGCTCACCTCCCCACCAAAGATAAGCACCTGCTTGGGTATATTGTGCCACCAAACACTCCACCCTCACAATTCCCAATTGGTGATTGGGCAGTTGTAGAGAAAGTGGAGAGTTTTCCAAACCTGGGCAGTGTGCTCATGGCCGGCTCTAGTTTGACAGCAGAGGTCTTACGCCGAATCAGCCGAGCGGCATTATATTTTCATCGGCTGCGTAACGCTGCTGTGTGGAAGCTGCCTGGCGGGTGCAGGAAAGAGTGCCATTGGATCTAACCGATGGCACTTTATGCAAATCTTTCAAGGATTTGTAAGCTCCTCACACAATCCAGTGTGGTTAAACTCAGGATGGATCGTAGGCAAGCCAGCCTAAATGTTCCATTAGGGGGGTCCACGTTTTGCAGCATAGAGAAGGGAGGGCATGATCGTGGCCGAAAATCCACAAAGCTTCGTGTGGAGCGACAGATCAGGTAGCTTTTGTTTAGCCACATAGAGGCTAAATAGGCACGGCATGGGATAGAGAGATCGAGTGATGTGGTAAAGGAGGATGTGGAGCTGAGTGGACTTTGTGATGACTTGTACCAGTGATGTTAAGATTGGCCTTTGTGGAGGAGGCTCGTGAAGGATGCTGCTACTGTGCCGTTGGAGGCAGTCGCCCTCCAGCAACAACGGAGGGCAGAGGAGCGATGCTCACAACAATGAACAGAGCGCCGAGTGGCTAAAGCACAGAAAGTTGGCACAGAAGGGGGCACAGGTGGTGCATAGTACCTGGGTCTGTCCCGTGACCTGCTGTTAGCGGGAGTTCGACCCTTCACGTGGCCTTAACGCGCACATAGCCTGGCACAAGCGTCGTGGTGACGCCACCGCCACTGAGTGTTAAATGGCGGCTGTCGTTGTTGTGTCTGTGCATGTGCGCGAGCGCCGTAGGCGAGGATCCGCTGCTGGACGAGTCCGGCTGTGGGGACGTCAACTCGGTGGCGTGCGTCCTCAAGCTCTACTTCCGCGAGCTGCGCACCCCCCTCTTCCCTGCAGCCGCCTTCTCACACCTCCTCCTCGCCTGCTCCGGTCAGAGAGGCCTCCACCCACTCCTCCACCCGCCCACTCGCACCTCCACCCACCCTCGCCTCCACCCGCCCACCCTCGCCTCCACCCGCCCACCCTCGCCTCCACCCGCCCACCCTCGCCTCCACCCGCCCACCCTCGCCTCCACCCGCCCACCCTCGCCTCCACCCGCCCACCCTCGCCTCCACCCGCCCACCCTCACCTCCACCCGCCCACCCTTACCTCCACCCGCTCACTTGCACCTCCACCCACCCACCCACTCGCACCTCCACCCACCCACCCACTCGCACCTCCACTCACCCACCCACCCATCCTCACCTCCACCCACCCACCCTCACCTCCGCAAGGGTGGGAAAAACCCGATGTTTTTGCCCGACAAATCGGGTTATTGGTTTTAATGGAATTAAACCCGATTTTGCCGATTAAAACCTGGTTTTATTATCGGCGTCTCATGAACACTTCAATCCTGCTCCTCGTCGTCGTCCGCCGCCGCGTCGTCGTCGTCGCTTTTGCTGCTGGACTCGGTGTTGTCGCCGTTGTCGGGTAGCCTTAGAACGCGTTGAGGTTCGACTTAATGAAGACGAGCTTCTCGACTGTGTTGGGCGCCAGGCTGTTCCTCAACTTGAAATGGATAAATCCCATCGTCGAGAAGTTTCGCTCAGACACAGCGGTCGACGGGGCCATGCTGAACAGTTCGATGGCGATCTTCTGGAGCGCAGGATAGTCGCTGCCGTCGGTCAGCCATCACTCTAGCGGAGTCTTCCTCCGCTTGGCCAGGAGCTGAAAGCTAATGGGTGCGTGTGACTGATATCCCGACTTAACTTTAATAAAACCAAATAAAACCGGATTTGGGCAGGATCCAGATGCTCCGGTTTTATATAAAAACCGATTAATTCCCGAATGAATAAAACCGGGCCATGCCAGCCTTGCACCTCCACCCGCCCCCTATCACCCTCGCCCCTCACCATCCCTCACCATCACCTTCCACCACCCCACCATCCACCACCACCCACCATCCCCTACCCACCTACCCACCATCCTAGACCATCACTCCCACCACCCACCACCACCCACCATGCCCCACCATCCCCCACCCACCTCCCCCCCCATGCCCCCCCCCCCACACGCTCCACCATCGTGCGACTGTTTTACCTGTGACTGTCAGCATGATCGTGTCACTGTGGAGGAGGCTCGTGAAGGACGCTGCTACTGGGCAATTGGAAGCATTCGCCCTCCAGCAACAACGGAGGGCAGAGGAGTGATGCTCCCGATAATGAGCGGAGCGCCGGGCAGCTAAAGCGCAGCGAGTTCGCACAGTGGGGGGGGGGGGGGGGGCACAGGTGGTGCTTCTTCCTTTCATCTTAGTCAGCCTATCCATGGCGCCTGCGTTTGTCCCGTGACCTCCTGCCAGCAGCGAGCCTCTGACACTTTACGTGGCCTCCGTGGGTGGGTTGGTGGATGGGTGGGTAAGTGGGTAGGTCAGTCAGTCGGTGTGTTGGTGGATGGGTAGGTGGGTCGGTTGGTCGATGTCTGGGTGGGTGGGCGGGCGGGCGGGCGGGTCGGTCGATGGGTGGGTGGGTGAGCGGGCTGTCGGGTGGGTGGGGGGTGAACGGGCGGGCGGGTGGGTGGGTCGGTCGGTGGGTTGCTCGGTTGGTCAGTCGGTCGGTCGGTGGGTCAGTGGGTTCGGCCGCTTGCCAGTCAACCAGGAATCCAGCTAGCCAGCAAAACTTTGTACCTAACACAAAGCAGTATGTGTGACTGTTGGGAGTGACGCTCATGCGTGCGTGGCCGTGTCCGCTGGCCCCGTGCGTGTCCAGGCGCCGAGGGCCCACTGGAGGGGGCGGTGCGGATCCGCTCCGTGATGCAGGAGTTGCCACCGCCTGTCGCCGTGGTCCTCCGCTTCCTCTTCGCCTTCCTCCACCAGTGAGCGCCCTGCCCTCGGCACATGCTGCCAAAATCGCTGTTTTTTATCCACCCCCCCACCCTCCCCCAGCATGCGAGCGCTGTCTGCCGGCGGCCATCTTTAGACACCGGCGGCCATATTTAAACCCCGCGGCCATATTTAAACACCGGTGGCCATCTTTAGACACAGACGGCCATCGTTATACACTGGCAGCCATATTCAGACACTGGTGGCCATCTTTGCACATTTGGTGGCCATCTTTAGACACCAGTGGCAGGTCCAGCTTACCGCGTGGGACGGTTTGCCCCCCGGTCTCGTGCGGTAGACAGGGGGAACATTGGGTTGCGCGCATTACGAGACGCACCCGTGATGTGCAACTTCCCGACCATGCCCAATCGGCGCCACTGCCACCACTGCCACTACCGCTATCACCGTCTTGACCGTTCCCTATCAGCGCCACCACCACCACCGCTATCACCACCACCGCCACTACCGCTGTCACCTCCCCAACGGTGCCCGATGGGTGCCGGGTGCCATCGCCACCATCACCATCACAACTATCACCTATATCACTGCACCAGCTGTTCTGATCGGCGCCACTGGCACCACCACCATCACCATAACAGTTATTAGCACCCTGACAGTGCCTGATTGGCGCCATCACCACCACCACCACCACCACCGCTTCCACCACCACCACTATCACCCCCTTCGAGTGCCTGCTCGGCGCCATCACCACCACTGCTATCACCGATCGGTGCCGCCGCCACCAACATCACCGATTGTTTTGATTGCCGACCTTCTCTACCCTCCCCCCCCACACCGTGTGCCACCTCAGCCTGGCACAGCTGAGCGACGAGAACCTGATGGACGCCTACAACCTGGCCGTGTGCTTCGGCCCCACGCTGCTGCCAGCGCCGCCCGCCTACGACGAGGCGTCGGTGACGGCGCGCGTCCACGAGGCGTGCAGAGCCATGATCGCGCTTGGCGGCGCAGCCTTCCCCGGGCCACGCCGCCTGCCGGGACCCCTCTACGAGACGTGCATGGGCCTGGAGCGGTGCGCACCCGCCACGGCCACCGCGATGATGATCACGACGGCAACGATGATGACGATGATGACGACGATAATGGCGATGATGACGACGATGATGATGATGATGACGACGATGGCAATGATGATGACGATGATGACGACGATAATGGCGATGATGACGACGATGATGATGATGACGATGGCAATGATGATGACGATGCTGACCACTCGAGAATTCTTCCGGCTCAATCGCTCGTGTGCTTGGCCGGTACCGGACCGGGGGAGGAGTGGTGGCGCAGCGGTCAGTGCTCACGACCACCGCTACTGGCACCACCACCACTACCACTGCCATCACCACTACTACCACGACTGTCACCACCGCCACTACCATCACACCGCCACTACCACCACACCGCCATTACCACCACCACTACCAACACTACCGCTGCCACCACCACTACCGCCACCACCACTACTTCCACCACCACCACCACCACGACTGTCACCACCGCCACTACCACCACATCGCCACTACCGCCACACCCCCATTACCACCACCACTACCACCACTACCGCTGCCACCACCACTACCGCCACCACCAGCATCACTACCACCATAACCACTGCCACCACCACCGCCAACCTCCACCACCAGCACACCACCGCCACTACCACCACCACTGGCCACAGTCACCGCCACCACAACCACTTCCGCCACGACTACCACTGCCACCACCACTGCTACTGCGACCAACACCACCGGGCAGGGACGATTGAATTTGTTTGACCGTGTCAGGGGGTGGAGGGCTTCACAGCAAACAACGTGGCCGTATCATTACCTGGCCTCGGCCATGCACACATCGGCAATGTTTCTTGAAAGCGGCGTGTGGCAGCAGCAACCGCTTGCTCTTGGCTCTCCCCTAGGTCGACTCGGCCTAAAATGACGGGGTGAGACAAAGGCGGCCGGGCGAGAGATCGCGGTTGTTTTTTTTTTCCAGGCCACACCAACCGACACCACCACCACCGTCGCGTCGGCTCTGTTGACATCACTTGCCCCACGGCGCCATCCGTCCGGCGCGGGCTACCTGGGGGACCTTTGCCTGTACGTGTGTGCGTGTCACAGCGATGGTCAGGATGCGTACAGCGAGGCGAGCACGGTGGACGAGGAGGAGGAAGTGGAGGAGGTGGAGGAGGTGGGAGAGGTGGGCGACGATGGCGATGAGGAGGAGGACGCGGCGGCGGTGATGGACGATGAGGAGGAGGAGCGGGCGAGCGGCCGCGGTTCTTCCCTGCCGGGCCGGCACGCCGCCGCCACCTCGGGTGGCGCCGCGCTGGGCTGGTGGCGCGAGTGGGCACCACGCGGTCCCACCGCGGGCGGCGTGGTGCCCGCAACGCTCGTGGAGATGAATCACGGGTGGGTGAGCTCAGGGGGGGGGGGGGGGGGGGGCGGTTGAGCCGGGTTCCACCGGGGACAGCCGCTGCTGTGTGTGGGTCCTGCAAGTGCCTTCATCCACCGGTGTCCACAGCCGCCCTGTGTGCTTCACCCGCACATCCACTCTTCCTTACGCCCCCCCCTCTCACGTTCACCCCCCTCGTTTACCCCCCCTCGTCCCCCCCCTCTATCGCCCCACCCCCCGTTCCCCCCCTCTTGACCCCCCTCCCCCCTCTCGTCCCCCCTTCTCGTTCCCTCCCACCAGACACGGCCCAGCCAGTGAACCGGTGACCCTGCAGAGGCCCTGGGTGGTGGAAGTTGGGGGGCCCGGGGTGGGGGCCCCACGGGAGGCCGGGCCCTGGCTGCCCCGCACGGAGCCGGCCCCCTCGGCCGCACGAGGGGAGGCGGCACGGGTGTGGGGGGCGGGGGGCGCGGGGGGAGGGCCCACGAGGGGGGTCACCGAGGAGGATGAGCCGCGGCTCACGCCGAGACAACGGTCGCCGCGTCGCTTCGTAGGCCGCTCACTCACTCACTCGCTCGCTCACTCGTTAGCTCACTCACTCACTTACTCACTCACTCGTTAGCTCACTCACTCACTGGCTCACTCACTCACTCGTTAGCTCACTCACTCGCTCACTCACTCACTGGCTCACTCACTCACTCGCTCACTCACTCGTTAGCTCACTCACTCTCCCCCTTGCTCACTCACTCACTCGCTCACTCATTCGCTCACTCACTCGCTCACTCACTCACTCGCCCCCTTGCTCACTCACTCGTTAGCTCACTCGCTCGCTCACTCACTCGCTCACTCACTCGCCCCTTGCTCACTCACTCGTTAGCTCACTCACTCACTCACTGCTCACGCACTCGCTCACTCGCCCCCTTGCTCACTCACTCGTTAGCTCACTCACTCACTGGCTCACTCACTCGCTCACTCACTCACTCGTTGGCTCACTCACTCGCTGGATCACTTGTTCGCTCACTCACTGGCTCACTCACTCGCTCACCCACTCACTCGCTCACTTGTTCACTCACTCGTTAGCTCACTCACTCGCTGACTCCCTCACTCGTTGGCTCACTCACTCGCTGGATCACTTGTTCGCTCACTCACTGGCTCACTCACTCGCTAGCTCACTCGCTCACCCACTCATTCGCTCACTTGTTCACTCACTCCCTCACTCGCTGGCTCAGTCACTCCCTGACTCACTTGTTCACTCACTCGCTGGATCACTTGTTCGCTCACTACCTGGCTTACTTGTTCACTCACTCACGGGCTCACTAACTTGCTGGCTCACTTGCTCACGCACTTGCTGGGTCGATCACTCAATTTGCTCACTCATTCACACGTTGGCTCACACATACTGGCTATGGTGGCAAAGTGGTGACACACCTTACAGCAGGAAGGAGCCTGGGTTCGATTCCCGACTCGGGCGCCTTGCTGAGTGGAGTGTGTATGTGTTATCCCTGTTCTACAGAGTCTGAGTGTGTGAGCGCCTGTGTGTGTGGGGAGCGGTGGTGTAGCGGTTAGGCCGCTGCGCTACGAACCCGGCCACCCGAATTCGTTTCCTGCTCACGCCCTATACAAGTGACGAATAACTGAATCTGTCCTGGGCCTCCCCTAGGTCGACTCGGCCTCAAATGGGTACCCGGTGCCTTGTGTAATAAACATCGCCAGGTCCCTTAATAGTTCAGTGGGCCTTACCTTAATATAACATTTTTTGGGGTTAGATCGCAACCAATTGGTAGGGTGGTGTCACGCAAACAAAACGTGACAATTAGTTACCAGTTCAGCACTAATCGGTTGTGTTGGAGAGTAAAACCCACGACAACATTTACAATTCGAGTAACCGTGACGTTTCGCCAGGTAATTACAACCGCCACCAGCACGATCGCTCACCGCCTGGTGATGATGCTGGTGGCCTTCAACAGAGGTAATGGCGCCACCCGTGAGCCTCACCTGGGTAAAAAAAAATATATATAGTTTGTAAAGTTGAGTTGACTGCGAGTGGTGAGACGCGTGGGGGTTCGTCCTCTTGCCATCGCCGTTACCTCCCAGGGTGGTGGCACTGCGCCGGGCCTCGGTGGCCACCCTGCGGGCAGGAACGGGGGCAGCTTCGGTACGGCGGGTGGCGCCGCGGTGGCGCTCGGTTTGGTGGGGCCTGTGAATGGTGGCACCGCCACCAACACCACCACCACCAACACCACCACCACCGCCGCCACCAACAGCATCAGCAGCGGCAATGTCTACCCACACAGGACTCCATGCCTGTCGGTTCCAGGTGATTATTCACATGGTTGGCTACGTTATGGCGCGGATAGAAGTTCAACACCCGTGCACGTTGAGGGTCACCTCAGCGTTGCTCAACATTCTTAATATGCAAAGATCCAGAACCCTGATGTTACACTAACTCCCTAATGCTGTCATTAAAAATCATGGGCGGGTGACGTAACTCCACATGGAGTGCCCCTTCATTCATAATCATAAGCGGGGAACGTCACTCCACATGGAGCATCCCCCTCAATAATCATTCCTGGATGTTTTAATCGAAAATAAACCATATGGCTCAATGGGATGCCTACCTAAAACCTGACTCCCACCACCATCCATCCCAGAAGAATTCCCTCATCAAAACTCTACACTATAGAGTTCAATGTATCTCCGAACATGAACACCTAACCAGTGAACCTTAACACGTACACCAAGCTCTCAAGATGAATGTATATTCAGACTACACAATCCGTAAAGCTATCACCTCAATCATTGGGAAAGAACCATCTGAGAACCCAATCAAAACAATCACCTTGCCATATATAGCAGGGGTCACTAAAAAATATTTCCAAAATCATGAGCAAACACAAGATCCAGGTTCGATTTAACACAGTACATAAAATTCGTGATCTGATCCCATCTGTGAAGGATGTGATCCCTGACATGCAATACCCCGGTGTCTACAAACTAAGCTGTGTTTGCGGCAGTTGTTACATTGGGGAAACTAAGCGACATGTCTCAGACCGTGTTCGTGAACATAAGGCAGATCTGAAACATGGTAAGACCAATACCTTGACCATAGCTGATCATTGTTTTAATGTGGTGGGCTCACACGAAATTTATTTTTTCTAAGACGAAGGTACTTTGCAAGCCCACTGGCTATCAACAAAGATTCGTTCATGAAGCCATCTATACATACAGACACAATTTCAACCGAGTAAATGGGTACAAACTGAGCAATCGTTGGAAGGACGTTATCAACCAGTTTAAGTCACAATTGGCAATGATGTTCCCATCCTACCACCTTCCGATGTTAGTTGTGCTTTATGCCCATTTCAAACTTGCGCTGTCAGTCACTTCACACGCCGACCCCTTGGCTGCGCCTCTGCGATCTCCCATTAACATGCTAATCTCTCTTTAATATGCCAATCTCTCTTTAACATGCTAATCTCCCATTAACATGCTAATCTCTCTTTAACATGCTAATCTCTCTTTAACATGCAATCTCTCTTTAACATGCTAATCTCCCTTTAACATGCTAATCTCTCTTTAACATGCTAATCTCTTTAACACGTAGGCTTTCGCGACCAATATTATTTACCATTCTGGCGAATTGCCCGATGATGCTGGAAGTATTTACCAGCGAAACGTCGTACTCAAACTGTAAATGTGGATTAACTCTTCAACACACCGGTGGGCTGAAGTAGTGAATTATTTGTCTTTTGTCAACGTGACACTTTTTTTTGCTGATTGGCCGTGTCGGGTGGTGGAGGGTTACGACATATTTATAAATACACGCGATCTAACCCAAAAACCTTTATTATGAATGCTAATCTCTCTTTAACATGCTAATCTCTCTTTAACATGCCGATCTCTCTTTAACATGCTAATCTCTCTTTAACATGCTAATCTCTCTTTAACATGCTAATCTCTCTTTAACATACCTAATTTTCATACTCTTTGGGTCTTTCGGTAAAGTCACGAAAATAGAAAAACAATGCTAATTTTCACCTGGCAGCCCTCTGATTGGTGGAAAACCAACCACCGTCGGGTTGGCTACCCACCACTTACATTATCAGTGGCTGCTGACATTTGGACTATGCCCATTTCAAACCCTTATATACAGTTTCCCTTGGAAGCTAGCCCCCCTTTTCCTGAAGACGACCGCTTGTGTTGCGATCGAAACATCGTAGTTTTTTGTTATTTTCTTTGAACCTATCTACGTGACTTTACTGAAAGACCCAAGAATATGAATTCCTGCAGTCAAGAAAGCTTTAAGTCAAGATGGGTAACTTGTTCTCCGCACTGCTATACTTATTTATCCTATGGAGCTCTCACAACCCAGCTACTCACTCACTCACTGCCTTTCCTCTCCAGGTGTAACTCCCCCCCTCCCACCAAGTGCTCTTCCTCCCCTTAGTAGTCTCCTGTGTAGTCTCCATCGCCTACGCAGTTTGTTCACTTTCATTTCGAAGTCCAAAACGCCAAGGGCACCGCCAACGAGCGGAACTGTTGAAGGTGTGAGTAGAGCAACGTTGAGCGAGGTTGTTGTTGTAACAACAGCAACAACTTCCCCTAAACATTGTTGTTGGGGGTGAGGGGGCCTTGTCTCATGCGCTCGCCCACTCTGCCATCTCTCAGGGGGCGGCCATGATGGGGGAGGTGGCAGCCACACGAGGCCGCTCCTCCGGCGAGGCGGAGCGGAGGGCTACGGAGACGAAGACCCCTTCACGCCGGTGCCACGCTCACCGCCCGTGCCACGCTCACCGCCCGTGCCACGCTCACCGCCCGTGCCACGCTCACCACCCGTGCCACGCTCACCGCCTGTGCCACGCTCACCGCAATTCACTAAAACACTTCCCCATCATACTCGCCACGATATCAACCACAACAACCGCCACCACATTCACCACAGCTGACCACAACACTCCTTAAAACATTCAACATAATACTCACCATCGCACTCCCTGTGGTCGCGTGGATTTTTCTCCGGGTCACCCGGTTTTTGACTGCAGCTATAAATTACGACATGATAATGATAAGTCGCCACTTCATTGAGCTGGTCACTTCTGAAAAAGAGCTAGACAGCTCAGTGGGGCCTTACACCTGGGTAAAATGACAAAATATAGGTTTTAGCGTCACACTCGGGTGCGATGCTTGTCTAGACGCTCCGTATGACAGAGGCCATACCGTCGGCTTGCAGCAAGGGATTGCTGGGCTAGAGAGTGGAGGGAGGGGGTGAAGGCTGATTCATCCAATAGTGGATAAGGCACGACTGGCCATGACCATAGATGCTTGCATTCCGTAGGAGATCGAGGCGGCGCTCCACACCGCTCTGCACGAACTCCAGGAGATGGAGCGCCAGGGATCGGCGGAGCGAGCTCCCGACCTCGTGCTGGACACATTCCCTGGCAGCCCATCACCGGCACCACCACCGTCATCATCACCGGCACCACCACCATCATCATCACCGTCATCGCCACCGCCATCATCATCACCACCACAGCAACAGCAGCAGCAGCCATCACCATCATCGCTATCACCGCCGATACCCGCCCACCACCACCATCAACGCCACCTCTGTCAACCGTGCCGCCACCATAACCACCACCGCCATGACATCACTGCCAGCTGGAGCTCCGGCGTCCGCCCGCCGTGGCCGTCGACCACTCACAGCCTCCCGGCGACGCCCGTGGGCCGCCGCCACCGGCTGGCCTCCTCCTCCTCCCCGCCGCTGCCGCCGCCCGGAAACAGCTTCCGCGCGGGCCTCTCGCTGGGGAAGACCGCCGGAGGGCCAGGCGGCGCGAGGGCCGCGGCCGGAAGACTGCCACCCGCCATCCGGCCCAAGCCTGCGGGCCTAGCTCAGGCTTCTGCCACCGCCACTGCCGCCGCCGTCCCTCCAGCTGTCGCGCGGGTCAGGCAGCCCGGTCCCACTTGCTGTCCTGCATCTGCCGCTGCGACTGCCGCTGCTGCGCTGTCTTCCGCGCACAGCATGGGGAGCATTGCGGAGCGGCACTGTGCGGTCTAAATCCCGAATCTGATTTTGGATATAGATATAGCCAGAGCGAATTTCCCTCAAGGAGGCGGATGTTGCACTGCGGGAACGGCGACGCGGAGTGGAGTGGCGGAGCTGGCAGGGGAACGCGCCACTTGCGAGCTGTTGAGGAATGCGTGACAGCGATAGAGGGGTACTACGTCATTATCGTCGTCACAATCCATGGGGCAGATAGCCCATCGGAAGTGTCCACTGCACATTTCGTAATTTGTTGTTTCCACTCTCCTCTTTCTGTGTCCTAGTGCCAATACGCGTTAAGTAGTGGCCCCCATCTTTCTGGCACCACATCTATTCATGATGTCGTCGTCAAACTATTCTCTGTTAGCGCTTCCTCTCTTTCCAGTTCTTTCCATTTTCCCGAACAACAACAACTATACATACTACTATATACTACACAACTATACACTTTTAATTTTCCCGTTGTTGTCCATCCCACTACATGTTTGTGTGTGTCCAAATAGTGTCAGTCTCCTTCTTGTCATTGCCTGCCTGCATGCAACATCAGGTTGTCTTCTACATGCAACCATTTTTCTTACTTCTACTTTGCAACCTAATCTAATTTAGATTCAGATATGCAGCCCGTTTTTCTGTAACGCCGCTTGTTGTTTTCATAATGCCAATTGGATATAACGCGATCAAGTGAATGGAACTGCGTCACGCGAGTCGGGATAAGCGGTCGTATGGCTGCCTCGGCTTAGGATCACACAAGGTAGTGGGATGCTGCTGGATGCTCTTTGAGGCTGCCCACTGCATGCCTCCGTCTTTGTTCAGCCTGCGTACGCATCTCACGCGTTATCGCAGACTGCGCCTTACCCTATATGGTAGAACCCATTTTAATGACGGTAATTGGTTCCACGAAATCGGCCGTTAAGTGATTTGGTCGTTGAACAAGTATAGGAAATACATGTTAACGGCTTAATTCGTTCAGATAGCATCGAAAGTTACCCTGTTTCACCCAAGAAACGTACTTTATATTTAAACAATGGATATTAATACGTAAATATACTAACCACATTTTAAACACATCAAAAGAAACTTGGTTAATCAATGCATTCATATTTACTGTACCTGCAACAGCCCGTCGTTAACAGAGGAATTGTCGCTAAGTGAACACATTGGGCTCTATGGAGGCAATACACTACGATACACTAGACTATACACGACACTACTATACACTACACTATACACTACATTACTATCAACTACACTACTATACACTACACTACTACACACTACGCTATACAGTACACTACTATAGACTACACTACTATAGACTACACTATACACTACATTACTATCAACTACACTACTATACACTACACTACTACACACTACACTATACACTACGCTATACAGTACACTACTGTATACTACACATTGGGCTCTATGGAGGCCCGTCATCAAGTGATCAGTCGTTAACAGGGATGATCGTTAAGAGGGGTTCTACTCTACACTACTATACACTTCACTACTATACACTACACTATACACTACACTACTATACACTATACTACTATACACTACACTATACACTACGCATTGGGCTCTATGGAGGCCCGTTGTTAAGCGATTAGTTCACCGGGGTGGTCATTAAGAGGGGTTCTATTGTATTATATTTGATTCATTATAATGCACATTATTCCATAACGCGGTGTTTTCCAAAAACGCAACTACCAGCGCGTGATAGCAGAACAGGCGGCACCCAGAGAGAACGTCGCTCAGGGAGGCTAACGTAGCTCGACGGAGTCGGCAGGGGCACGCGCCACTGCGAGCTGTCAAGGATCGAGCGACGGCGATAAAGGGGCACTCTGGGGGGTCATTAAAGGGGGTACTCGGGGGGACAGGGGGTAGATGGATGAGGGGAGGGAAAGGGAAGAGGAATGGGCAATGGAGAAGAGGTGAGGATATGAAAAAAAATATATACAATATTTTGTATTTTACAATTTTATTTTATTTAACCAGGCAAGGTCCCACTGAGCTATATGCAGCTCTTCTTGAGGAGCGACCTGGCCACAAATGACAGCTTAACGAAGTGGCTTATCGTCATCATCACGTGGACATGTATAGCGGTAGCCGAATACTCTCTAAACGCGCGACGTTGACTCTAAATGCGGAGGGGGAAACAATCGGAGGACCCAGAGAAAAATCTGCGTGACCACGGGGAGAGAGACACGCAGGTGAGGCAATGAACATCTCCTAGCCACCGTGGTCGCCATGCAGTGTGACTCTCCATAGCAGCAGCAGGGTTGGTGGGCGGGCTACATGCTCGGAGGTGGCTCCATGATATCCACTTCCGCTGGCCGCTTCTCATCGTCGGGGGTTGGGCGCGGTCACTGTGAGATGTCCGCGACTCGTGGCCGATGCGAAATCTCTCACCTCGGGCGTCACAGCCGCACTCACCGGGTAATAAGAGCGCCACGTTTTTGTGTTACGATGAAGACGATGACGGACTTCTTTCGCACCGTATGCAGCCAACCGTGCTAATTGGAGGTGTGGACGATGGTGACATGTGGATCACGATGCTGACGAGAGAACGGCGACGATGATTACTATATGGACGATGACGATGTAAATAATAATGATGATATTCTTGGTTCTTTCAATAAAGTCTCATAGAGGGGAAACAAAATAATAAAAATATAAATCAATTAAATTCTGATGACGTGTCGACTACAACACAAGCAATCATCATCAGGTATGAAAACCATAGCAAGAAAATTTGAAAAAAGTGGCGGTTATTTTTAACGTTAGCACCACGGAGAGCGATTTGGCAGTTATTCAGATGGACGAGTCCACCTATGTTCGGAAAAGAGGAGGGGGGAGACGAAAATAATGGATGCGGTCTGTTCGGAAAAGAGGAGGGGGGAGACGAAAATAATGGATGCGGTCTGAAAGCCACCGTAAGCGTGAACACTCAATTAAGACCCGAAATGGTTTATAAAATCCTTCCAATGATTTCTAAGCCAGAATCCATCTTCTCGGTTGAAATTGTCTCTGTTTGTAAATGTGGATAGCCTCTAACCCAAATCTCTCATGGTAGCCAGATGGCTTGCAGAGAACCTCTGTCTTGGAGAAGTCAATTTCATGTGAGCCTACTGAACACAAAGCAGACCTAAAACACGGTAGGACCAACACCTCGGCCGTGGCAGATCACTGTTATAATTCAGTAGGCTGAAATGACATTTCGTTGAGCTTCTATCATTTGTGGTGGCCAGGTCAGAGCTACACAGTAGCTCAGTGGGGCCTTAGATGGTGAAATAAAAAACAGCTTTTGTTTATGATGACCGCTTCCACTCGCAACGTCGCGCTAATGGCCTCACCTTACAAGAGCCGCTCCCCGCTCTTGGAAAGAGAGTGGGCGATGACTCAGAGGCGCCAGGAGGAGACGAGTGGGATGGCAGCAGCAGCAGCCACACGTGGGTCAGCCGGCGCCAACAATTGCCCAAGTTCCGGGGTCCTCCATGTTTCAAGGTGTTATCGGACCATTAGTGACCGTGTTTATACTCGTGGGAGGAATCTGGAGTGCCAAGAGCAAACCCACGCGTGCGAGCTGACAACACTGTATCCCATACAGGGATAGAGTGTTGTCCCCTGTACTGCCTTCTACGACCAGAGTCAGGAGGTATGGCTTCTTGACGCAGATGGAGTTGCGTCCACACGCTGTGCTGTACCGCATTTTACAGAGCTGGGGTACGGCTCCTCCTCGACGCCCACCCACGGGTAGAAGGGAGTGAGTGTGGAACAGATGGAGATTAGTCCACACTCGTTGCTGGACTGCCTGTCTGTTGGCAGAGCCCAGGGGGGGAGTTTGCCAACATTAATGCGGTGATCCACCAACCCCCACTACAGGCAGCCACGTGCAGTGCAATCACCACCAGCAGGACCACCACGACAGCTCGGCAAATTCTACCAAACACCTACACAGCACCACCACCATCACCGCCCGGCTAATTATGTGAAGTCCTCCATGTTTTGAACAAAATGATGGACGTTTATTCAACGTTCAATGAGTCCAGCAACGCACTGCACTTGAGAACCCTGTTTAAATCACAACTCAGCCGATGTGAGTCTATGGGTATCTGTGTGAGTCTACTGGTTTCTGCATGAGTCTCTGGGTCTCTGCGTTAGACTATGGGTCTTCGTTGGAGTCTATGGGTCTCCGCGGAAGTCTGGGGCTCTGTGTGAGTCTATGAGTCTCTGTGTGAATCAACGGGTCTATGTGTGAGTCTACAGGTATTTGCGTGAGTCTATGAGTCTCTGCGTGCGTCTATGGGTCTCTGCGTGAGTCTACAGGTCTCTGCGTTAGTCTATGGGTCTCTGCGTGAGTCTATGGGTCTCTGCGTGAGTCTACGTGTCTCTGTGTTAACCTGTGGATCTCTAGTTGAGTCTATGGGTCTCTGCGTGAGTTTATGGGTCTCTGTGCGAGTTTGTTGGTCTCTGAATCTGTGGGTCTCCGTGTGAGTATATGGGTATCTGTGTGAGTATATGGGTCTCTGTGTGAGTATATGGCTCTCTGTGCGAATCTGTGGGTCTCTGAGTCTGAGTATCTTTGTGAGGCTATATGCCTCTGTGTGAGTATATGGGTCTCTGTGTGAGTCTATGGGTCTATGTGTGAGTATATGGGTCTCTGTGTGAGTCTATGGGTCTATGTGTGAGTATGTGGGTCTCCGTGTGAGTATATGGGCTTCTGTGTGAGTATATGGGTCTCTGCGTCTCTCTGTCAGCTAATGAAGCCCGGACTGGAACTCAGGCTCTCAGTGGTTGCTGGCAAAGCGTCTCTGTCTCGGGAATGGAGTGAAACACAACAACACAAACACAACACAAACAACCACACTAAAACAGCAACACAAACTCAACAACACGAACACAATCACTCAAACAAAACACGTAAACATAGCAACACAAACACAACAACACGGGCACAATAGCACACACAACAACACAACAAGAAGAACACAACCACATAAACACAGCAACATAGACACAACACAACAACACAAACACAACACGAACACAACAACACGACCACAACGACACAACACAAATACAACAACAACCACGTAAACGCAGCAACACAAACACAACAACACGAACACAGCAACACAAACACATGATCACAAACACAACAGCACAAAACACAACACCAACACACAAACAACCACAAAAACACAACACAAACACAACAACACCAATATACAAACAACCACACAAACACAACACAAACAGAATAACGCAAACAAATCCAACACAAACACAATAACAATACAAAAACAAAACAACGTAAAAAGACACGCACCACAACAAAGAAACAATAACAAACAACACAACTTTCAAATACACAACAAAAACACAAGAAAGCACAAAAAACAAAAAATATAAGCTGAAGAACACGTCGCCACAACCCAAACACAATAACACTCCTTGAGACTCGAGAGAGACCCGACGTCATTCGTAACGACAACGCCGTTTATGTTCACATCCATGCACACATTGCACAGCGGTCTCCTCAATGCGACGGAAAGCTGCTCAGCCCCCCACTCAGCCCCCCACTTAGCCCCCCGCTCAGCCCCCCGCTCAGCCCCCCATTTAGCCCCCAATTTAGCCCCCCGCTCAGCCCCCCGCTCAGTCCCCCGCTCAGCCCCCCACTCAGCCCCCAACTTAGCCCCCAACTTAGCCCCCCCCCCCCCCCGGGGCCTTGCATCCACTCGACACAGCGGGAGCGGTGGCGCAGTGGTTAGCACCTTGCACGCTGCACCCTGCATTGTGTCGTATCCATGAGTTTCGTTGACTCAGCCGATTATTACCAACATTATAGCAAAACTCCATTCGCTGACAGTCGAGACGGCGTCGACGTTCAAACAATGCGAACGATCGTGGGGTCACGTCGATATCTGAGGCCCCTCGACTTCCAAGTTGGCGCGTATCGAGTTGAACACGTAGCAGCAGCAGCCGCAGGAGGCTTTTGCGACCAATATTATCCACAACACAGGTTTCTGGGTTAGACAGCGTGACTATACATGTGTGTTGATGACCCTATGAAGAACCCAAAGGGGAATGTATATCCCCCTCCCCAGCCTTCGCATTGGCTCACAAGTGACGACATCACATTGACCCCCTCCGATTTAAGACCGAAACAGCAAGAGGATGTCTCCACAACTCCGG